ACACGTTAAACATCAGTTGGTAGGAAATTTTTGAATTTTGCCCAGATGGCGGCCGAAACCTACACTTATCGATTTTGGACCACCAAGAGATATTTAATGCGCGCAAATTGCACACGGGACCTCCGAGATTTTCTGCCCTTATCCGAAAAAGCTAGATGTAGATCTAACCTACCATAAGATCAGGGATGTGGCTGAAAGACTGCAGTAAGAAAGAGCCAAGTATTAGCAGTAGATAGGCTGCAGAAAGAGTCAGGGGCCCAGAGGAAGGGGCAAAGGGGGTGAGGTGTTGGGGGCAAAAATAGAAGACGAAAGCAGACGACAGAACATTGTTAGAGTGCAGGAAATGATGTGAAAAGAGAAAATCTTATAGAAGAATATTTTCCGTCGCTATAGTGATTCTAACCCTGGACCATTGAATGACAGGCGAACACCTTAACCTCTGGGCCACGAGAGCCCCCTCCTGCTTGTCATGGCCAACTCAGGCTGAATGAAATCAGAGGGTTGGTAATACTGTAAAACTCTCTGATGAAATACATCATCAGACCGACAGAGATAGTCGGTAAAACATGCTCCTCGTGTGGGAATGTCGAGTAGAATGATAATTGGAAAGGAATGCAAAGGCAAAGAGCCTGATCATCACACCACAGAATGATAGCCTTACGATGGGACTGTGGTGTCCAATCAAGGTGAAAGGATGTGGGTGGTTGGCGAGCGCTCTGATATTATTTGCTCCTTCTTTACCATCAAACATCTGTCGTCCTTATCTCTGTCCCTTCCTCTTTTTGTACATTGTATATTATTCTCTAGTGATATTTTCGAACTTGCAAAATTTTGCTAGGCAGTTCTGTGAACATTTCTGACATATATTATTTTGTTGATAACAGATTCAACACAAGGAGCTTTCTGCACTGATTGCTGCACTTATTAAGATGTCTTCATCGATTCAGAAGTTATGAGTTGTTGTTTTTTTATCCCTACCCATGCACTCCCCCTTTTTTTTTTGCTTTTGAAATCTTATCGTTTTTCGTGAACAGAACAAGGAAATAATTAATAATTAAGCGTCTAATTGAAAGCAAGAAGCTTTCATACTCGTAATCACAAATCAAAATGTTCCTCATAGCAATACACAATGTAGGCTACTCAATACAATCATGGGTACGAAATCAATTCCAATCTGACAACAAAGGGGGAACACAGTAATTAGGAACAAATATTTTGACAGATGGGAAAACGGTGTTTTTGCCGCGTTTTGCTCTCACAGAAAATTGAATACAACGAACCCCGAATACAACGAGATCACCCTTTTGGTTTTTGTTAGATCCGAGGCTGGACCAGTAGTGACAACAAAGAAGGAATGAAACCCGGGTAGTACAAGTTGATGGGGAGGAGGAGGGAAGGGAGGGCGTCGTGATTGGACGGTTACCTCCTGTCACCAAGGTGACAACAACGGGGTTTAAAAAAAATCATAACTCGTCGCTATAATGCGTTGGGCGGTCTGTTTTTGTTGTTGGCTCTCTTCTTTCCATTCTTTGCTGTTTTTTTTTTCTTTCTTCCAAAAGCCTATTGTGGTGTACAGGGATGAGTGTGAGAATTGGGATGTGGAGGGGTGTGTACGTTAGTGCAGTTTTTGTTATGTCTTTATTTTAACAAATGCAACATACAATTTACATGGCTATAAACGAGGACTAACATGTGCATGGTTGTAACATGAATCGACTGTACATGACTGGAGTGAGTCATTGGTAATATAGCGGTGATGATATGGTCTAGACAGAAAAGGATCTAGGCTACACGACCTAGGTAATGATTTTAAAATTTACATCTTTGAAACTTGACTGTGTCAATAGAGGCTGGCTAGAATTTGTCATCTCTTCTCTATTAAATTGTTCAAAACTATGGGGGGTAGGGTAATATTGTTAAAACGGGTCCTAATTTTTTACATCACATCATTGAAAAATGTACCAAATTTCTCTGCAAGAGCTCCTAAAGGGATTGTCTGGGGAGCAGACATTACCTTCTGTTTTTTTTAAATAAAAGTTTAATTACAGAATTGTAGCCTACAATTTTTAGAGGATGGACATTGGACGATTTACAGTTTATAAAATAAGTTCATTTTACACACAGTATCAGATCTTTCAGGTTAAGGGACATTCTTTTTGCACACAGCATCAGATCTTTCACGTTGTTTTTTTTGCAACTGTTTATGAATTAATTTGCTTATTAACAATAGATAATCCAGTTGATCTTCATCTTCTTTCAGCTTGCCGTCGTTCATCCCTCGGTACTTTGATCTCCAAGATCATCTACGGGGCAGATGGTCATGAAACCCCAGTTCCGTGTATCTTAGGGGAGCAAACTTACTCAATAGGCCTATTATGTTAAAAAAACCAACAAAAAACAAAAACAAACAACAACCCCCCCCCCAACAAACAAACCAACAACAACAACCGTGATGCTGATAACCCGAGAAACGGAACTTTAAAATAAAAAACAACAACAACAGAATGCAACCCCCCAAAAAAACAAAAACAAACAACAACAACAACAACAACAACAACAAACAAACAAACAAACGACAGAACATTGTTAGAGTGCAGGAAATGATGTGAAAAGAGAAAATCTTATAGAAGAATATTTTCCGTCGCTTTAGTGATTCTAACCCTGGACCATTGAATGACAGGCGAACACTTTAACCTCTAGGCCACGAGAGCCCCCTCCTGCCTGTCATGGCCAACTCAGGCTGAGTGAAATCAGAGGGTTGGTAATACTGTAAAACTCTCTGATGAAATACATCATCAAACTGACAGAGATAGTCGGTAAAACATGCTCCTCGTGTGGGAATGTCGAGTAGAATGATAATTGGAAAGGAATGCAAAGGCAAAGAGCCTGATCATCACACCACAGAATGATAGCCTTCCGGTGGGACTGTGGTGTCCAATCAAGGCTTGACACTGGAAGTTATCATAAGAAAAGTTAGGGAAAAAAATGTCACATTAGAGGAGTGGTGTGTGGACTTTTCTGAGCTGTATTGAGAGTGCCGAGGTAAATATGAGGTCAAATAACATTCAGATTTTGCTAATCTTGCAGCCAATACCTTTATAAAAGAAATGGTTTGTTGTATCCCAGTAGGCCTATTATACAGGTTCTGATGCAGATTCTTGAACACAGATTTCATGCTTTAGAAAAAAAAAGTGGTTGAATGAGGCCCATTGTGCTTTTTGACTTAAAGATAAATGCAAGACATAACCCTCCTTAAAAAGTGTTCTTTGTTATCTACATGCATTACTACCACAGATGTTGCTGCAGCCTCGTTGGGAATTTTTGTGTGTTTCTCAAATACAGAGTCAACCCCCAGATGGATCTCTGATTAACACAGTAACGTGTACATAATACGCTCATTTAAGTTATTCACGCGATTACAAACAATTTCACATAATATAATGTAGAGTGAAATTGATTGTTGTCTTCTGTTAACAAAATGCCACATAATACACATTCCATGTTGTTTATGTTCCATTGGTCAAAATCACTTTTAAACTTTTTATTAAAATTTATGAGTATTTCTTGGAGGCCAAAGGGAGGGGTGCTTTTACGGTGGGCCACACTTAAAACAGCAACGTTTATACTTTCATAACAGGTCCAGTTTTAGCAGGCTTACAAAAAATCCTGGAGTCTAATCTTTTATAATTTACAATGCAAGTTTTTTTGGTGTTTTTAAAAAAAATATGGCAGGCACTTTGACGGACATGCTCGCCTATTCTGCAACAGTGGTCCAACCATCGATAAAATCTGAAAACAAATAGACCAAGAAAGCAGGAAAAATCAATCACAACAACCACCAACATTGGTGACAAATTGGTCCAACATGACCCGCAGTTGGCAGTTGGCAGTTGGCAGTTGGCAGTTGGCAGTTGGCAGTTGGCAGTTGGCAGTTGGCCACAGAATGCCAAGAGTCTCCCTTGGAGATCAATGTTCTTGCCATTTTGACTCTTCTGTTGCTTACAAAGAACAATACTGTCTTGGGTAGGACATAAGTATATTAATTCATCAGTAATATTCATTGATTGGGAAAGTTGGATGTGCTTTGGGGTTAATGAAAATCCAGTCAGTGATTTAACGTGGCATTGGTCTGGTACCACATTATCATAATACTGTCTCCTAGTGGGGTAACACGACTTGGAGGGAAAAAAAGATTAGATGAAAAGTAGGCTAAGTACTGGGCACTAGATCTACAGCAGATCCGTCATATTATCATCTGCTCCTTTACCATGGTAACCATTCCATATTGAATGATTGAAAAACGTAGGCAACATGGTGTAGGCTGTGCAAAGCACGACTATGTGTTCAATGTTACGTAAATGCAGTTATGTATAGTAGGCTACGTTATTATCATTACAACACATGCATCTCAAATCATGTCTAGTCAACGTCCATGAAGCATTAGTTGCTAGAAATATGAAAATAAAGATTAGGAGAAAAAAATATTATAAGAAAATAAAGTAGCAATTACTGATAAATTGGTAGAGGGCAAACTGTGTAATAAAAACGACCCTATTTGTACAAAATTAGTAACAGTGTAAGTAAACTTCATCCACGTCTACAAAAGGATTTGGTTATAACAAGGATACTTCGTCGGTCCCAGCAGTCCTGTTATGGCTGGACCCACTGCTTAGGCCTACCTTTTACTCAAGAGTATTCCTCCTTTTTCTGTCTTGTAATTTAAATACATTGCAAAGACTCACCAATTTATCAATGCTCTCTGCATTTTTTGTGCGGTTCTTGTACTTGTAGAAATGATAGTGAAAATGTCCCACTTCCCTTCAGCTCAGCCCTCTCCAACACCCCCACCCCCACCCTTCCCAACCCCCCATTCCTCCACCACTTTCTCAGCAAAATCCCAATAAGTAGAAATACTGATAACATAATTTACAGCTTTTTGCAGATGAAGACTACCAGTATTTCCAGTACCTCACTGAAATCACGGAGGCCAGACAAAGAAATGAGACCAGTTTTTACTTTTATTTTTAAAATATTATTTTAAATTATCAACATCACAGAAAAGTTGCACAACAAAATTTCCTTAAATGTAAAACAATTTCCTAGAAATTAAATATAATGAGTTAAAGTTTATACATTAATACATTGTTAATTGTTTGAATTTGGATTGATTGCACTTTTGATCATTTCCCTTCCCGTTCTAACAAAAAGCAACCAGAAAGAAATGAACTATACCCATCACAGACGTTAATAAAATTATAGTCTGATATCTCTCTTCAGTACGTCCATCTAAATCAATCGACAAAAAATTAATTAAATAATATAATATGATATGTGTAAAATAGTATGTGCGTGTGTGTGTGTGTGTGTGTGTGTGTGTGTGTGTGTGTGTGTGTGTGTGTGAGTGTAACATGTCATTTCATAAATAATGTCTACTTCAAAGCTCATTAAAATCAAATAAAACGAAACAAAATAAATATAATATACAATGCATATATCTATGTACCATGTATGTATGCACATGTGTGTGTATGTGTGTGAGTGTGAGTGTGTGTGAGAAGTAATTTTATGATGAATGTAGACTCCAATGTTCATTAAAATCAAATGAAACAAAATAAATGCAATGTATACCATGTATGCATCTATGCATTGTGTGTGTGTGTGTGTGTGTGTGTGTGTGTGTGTGGGTGTGTGCTCACATGTGCTTGTGTGCTTGCGTGCGTGTGCACACGTATACATGTGTGTATGTACGTGTGCATGTAACTCAACAATTATTGATGTCTCCTCCAAAGCTCATCATGTGTCCGTGGACAGCTTCACTGTGTCCCCACCCGCACTGCTGTAGGTGGCGTTGTCGAAGCCGCTGGAGGGGGAGCCAAGGGGGCTCCTGGATGGACCATTCTGCGTCTGGCGCCGAATCACAAAGATAACGACAGCTGCTATTGCGACTATAGCGATGCTTCCTACCACGATGCCAGCGACTGGGCCACCACCAAGTCCGTTATCTGAAGACATGATGAATCTCTCATAGAATTAAGAAGAAAATAACAACTTTTAATGCTGCAATGAGCAGTTATGATTCGGAGGTTTTGGCCCCAACCAAATCCATAGTCTGATGGCGTGATGCTTTTGTCATATAATTAAAGAAATGACAGATGGCAGAATGTGAGCATTTTGGTTTCTAAAATACTCACTTGAAAATTAAAGGTTTCTGCTGAAGCTTAGCAAAGTGCTTCTGGTGTAATGAAATTAGGAGTTTTTAGTAAGAGTTTATAACACTTGCAACACAATTAGTTCATACAAGTGTCAAAGATTAAAGGTGCTTCTTAGGGGAAACATCCTAAAGACAAAGGAGGAGGTGAAGATAACGATGATAGATGTTTGATAGGAAAGGAGAAGCAAACCACTTTAGAACACATGCTAACCACACACTGGTATTAGGAAAAGAGCAACAAATTTAGGGAACAGACAGAAGATATAATGAGTTTTTGAGCACAGAGGAATAAAGGAAAATCTCAAACAAAACTTCACTAATTAATTTTTTTTAAAAAGTACTACTATGTACACAATCTTTATGACTCTCTTTTGGTCATTGCCTGAAAATATGAGACTAGAAATCTTAGAGACAAGACAAAAAAAAGTAGATTGTCTATACTAGTGTGCTAAGAATGTGGAGGACACATCTTTGAAGATTGAACCATCTTTCTTTAGGTGCTTTGATACTATGAATCTCCACATAACTAATTCGGCAAATGTCTCTTGAAATTGCATGGGAAGTCTTACAGCAACCTGGAACTCACAAACACGGATATGGAAAGACAATACTTTTGAAATGTAATTAATGTTTACTCCATGCCATTACTTTCAGTAGATAGGACTGGCCAGTGTAGGAAGGATTAGAAAAAATAAAAATTAGAGGTGAAAGTAAACTTGGGTTCTTCATTCAGAACTTGATCTATTATGCACATACAGAGTCTTCTTTCTCTGTGGGGCCACATGTAAGCTGTTTGTAATGTCAGGTAACAAAAATGTTTTAAATTCATTTTACGATGAACGAGGGGGTCAAAGTTTACTTTCACAAAACAATAGACACACAAATAATGGCTTGTTGATGTTTACCAGAGTTTCCAGGGCTCTGCTTTAAGCCTGAATTGGCTGGGCCGGCTGTGATTGGGGGGCGTGCCCAAGGGTTTTGTGGACCTTGGGTCCAAGGATTCTGTGGACCTTGTGTCACAGGATTCCATGGACCTTGGGTCACGGGTGGATTCTGAGTCACTGGGGGGACGTACTGTGTGTTTTGACCAACTGGCTGCACGGTTATTCCAGTTGGGGCTGTACTAGAGCTGCCACCATCTGAGGACCACAGTGAGAGAGAGAGAGAGAGAGAGAGAGAGGTGTGTAACACAAGATGTACTTAAGATATGATAAGATCGGATGAGATAAGATGGGAAGAGATGAGATGAGATGGGATGAGATGATATTGCTTAAGATAAGACGAGATAAGATAAGATAAAATAAGATAAAACAAGATAGATACGATAGGATAAGACAAGACATGATAAGATACGTTAAGGTAAGATGATACTTTATTGTCCCAGTCAAACATTTTTCTTGGCTGTACAGGAATGGTAAAAAACATGCAGGAATAGCCTACATAGAATTTAAATCATATATTACCCTCATTAAAATTCAATATAAAGAGAAAAGCTGACAATAATACACATATATATCACGTCAGATGTATCTTTCAACCCCATGCAGGAATTTATTATAGACCTTTACTGTTATAAAGAGTTTGTACTGTAACACAAGATGTATTTAGTACTTTGTGTGTTTGTTTGGTGTCTATGTGCATGTGTGTGGGAAGTGGAGGTGGGTGTGCTTCTGTTTTCATGTGTGGATTTGAGCAAGAGCTTGTGTGTGTGCGTGTGTGTGTGTGTGTGCGTGTGTTTGTGTGTGTGTGTGTGTGTGTGTGTGTGTGTGTGGTACCCAGTCATTTGCAATAATTCTATTGGGGATGGATTTTTAATTCAGAGGTCCAACATGTTGAAAGGGGAGTTAAACCCTTACCATACCGTACCTCTTTGCATTGAGGCATGAACTCAAGGTGCTTAGCATCACAAACGGATTAACATTATTTTTAAAAGGGATCTTTATCTGAATGTAACAACTAATTTCCATAACATGAGTAACTCCATCTCAGCTGAGCTTGGGAAAGATTTTTCTCAATCTGTTCTCTTTCGTTCATGGAGGTGGACCTCACACTTAAAGGCCATTGTAAAGAAAAAGGTCAGTAAAAAGGAGATGGAGAGAAAGAGATGAAGGTCTTATCATAAAAAAGGAGAAGAGGTGGAAAAGTGTGATGATTACAAAAAACAAAACATAAATATTACAGCAGAGAAAACAGCAGAAAAAAAAATTGAGGACAAGATTTATGAAAGGAGATGTTTAAGGAGTAACAGTAAAAGTGTACTTCAGGACTCACACAGTGTTTTCTTGCACATATAGGCATGCTGGTCAAAACAGTCAGTGTCTCTCCAGGATCCATCACGTCTGCTCGCCTGTGACACATAGTAGAGAAGAAATGAGTACCAATAAAGGGTGCTATAGTAGCCTATTTGAGCAGCTAACGTACACTTTCAGCGTAGCAGTCTCAAGTCGTAGCAAGAACAACAACAACAATGTATATGATTTTTAATATAACAGCAATGATGGTTATGTTCACAGATTAAATGTTATAAAGGTGAGGCATCGAGGTGAAATCAGGCACTTGTCAAAATAATGAAATTGAAGAAATTGTTATTTTTCTGTCTGTTAGCCAATTTTTTATGAACTTTAAAAAAAAAAAAGACTCAACACCTTTAATGTCCGTTTAAAAACAAATTCCTGTTTGGATTTTATTGAAAAATGTTCATTAAAGGCACAAGAATATAAATTTGAAGTTTCTAAGGAGTGTCAAGCTTTGAAAATCATCAAACTTAGGCAGCCATTTTCTCCCTAATTTTACTTTTGAAACCAGGCTACAACCATCTCCTTCAATCGCAAATATCTCGACTTCTATTCATAATGTATGTGAGGCAGCGTGGTGAAATCAGGCATTCGTCAAAATAATCAAAGTGAAGAAACTGACAAGGTAGCAGAATTTTTATTGAATTTTTTTTCTTTCGCTAAACACCTTTCGTACGCATTAAAGAACACATTCTGGTGTGGATTTTACTGAAAAATATAAATTAAAGGTACAAAAAATGAAAATTTTTATTTCCCGAGGACTCTCAAGTTAAATTAAATAACTTATCTTTGGCGGCCTTTTTCTCATTAATTTTTCCTCTGAAACCAAGTAACTCCCCTTCTCTTTCATTTGCAAATTTCTTGATTTCTATTTGTTATAATTGGGTATTTTTTTTCATCCAAAGCAAGACAAATGAACAAGCTATAAGATAATACTAATAACTCCACATGCCCAAAAACTGACGAGAGCGATATTTTTTTTCACCAAAAGGAAGACAAATGAACAAGCTATAAGATAATACCAATAACTCCACATGCCCAAAAATTGACGAGAGCGATATTTTTTTCCCCAAAAGGAAGACAAATGAATAAGCTTTAAAAAGATACCAATAACTCTACATGTCCAAAAACTGACAGGCACCTGATTCCCCCCTGTTGTGACACGAGTGATGCTATAGTAATAAATTATTTGACCAGCTTACACACTTTCAGTGTAGTCGTCACAAGCAGCAGCAAGAACAACAGCAAAAACGTAAATGATACTAAATATAACGGCAGTGATGATTGCATTCATAGATCTTTTGATACAAAAGATCAAATTCAGAAGCATGATAATGATAATGAAGATGACAAAGACACTGATTCTGTTAAAAGCAAAATCAGCTCTTTTGCCAGAAATTCTTCCCACTCTGACCTCCCCTTCCTCCCCTCCCTGCCATGCTACCCAAATCATAATTGCAGGTGTTTGTTTCAGATGTCTTCTTTGATGAAATCCGCAGCTTGCACCGTATGTTTCCGCAGAAGCTGAAAATGTTTCTGAGTGTTCTCAGAGAGTCTGCTCGGGTAATAATAGTTGTAAAGCGCATAGAGCATGGATATGCGCTATATAAATGCAATTATTATTTTTTAAAACTATTATTATGAAGAGGAAGAAGCAAACCTCCATCCCCCTTCCCCCCAGATCCCAGTTCTAACCCCCACTCCTCCCCCCCCCCCCTCTCAAGGTGTGCCACTGACCACAACACAGTCTTGGTGCATGGTGCTGTCTGTGTCACTGGGTTCTCCTTGTGACCAGTACAAATAATTCAGAGCTGTCCCATCACTCCAAGAGAAACCAGCTGGGGATGGAAGTTTGAGTTCATAAGTCATCAGTGGGATAATCTCTATATGTGAGGCATGGGGAAATCAGGCGCTTGTCAAAATAATGAAATCCAAAATGTAAGCATTTTTTTCCCCGCCAGTTTAACAAATTTTTTTCGTATTGTTTTGAAGTTTTTTTTGCTTATTACCTTTCATGTCTATTTAAGAACAAATTTCATTGTGGGTTTTATTGAAAACGTTGATTAAAGGCACAGCACATGTAATTTTCAGTTTCCAAGGACTCTCAAGCTTTGGAATTGACAAAATTCTGGCAACCATTTTCTTGCTAATTTTGCCTTTGACACCAGGCCACCCTTATCTACTTCAATTGCAAATATCTCAAGTTCTATTAACCATAAATTGGTATCATTTTCACCAACAGCAAAATAGATGAACAAGTTTAAAGGTTATACCAATAACTCTATTTGCTAAAAAATTGGTTTGAGCCTAATTCCATTTAATCGAAAAACATAGTATGTCAATGTGGTTATCTCTATATATTGTCTTCTGCATTCCTCAGGAATGTAGCAGAAATTAACTACAGTCAAACAGTGTAAGACGGCCACCCATTGTCAAGGAGAAAAGTGGCCGTATAAGACAGGTGGCCGTCTTAGGCAGGACTGATCAAGATGAAGAAAACAAACCCCATTCCCAATTGAAAGTAGCCGCATTATTGTTGTTTTTGTTATAGTTGTTGTTGGTTTGTATTTTGTTTGTTATTTTTATTTTGTTGCTGATTTTGTGCAAGGGTGACAATAAAACGAAATGTGTCAGACAAGGAGGACCGAGTGCTATGGTAAAACAAACAAATGGGTCGCCACCACTCGAAGAACGAGCGACGCTTCTGTCACAAGTCCATGTTGACGTCCATTGTTACTTTGTTACAGACTGGGTAAACAGTGACCACTTATCTCATTTACGATTTGTGTACGAGTTCTGGGTGGGGCTTATGGGTTATGAGGGATAACGCACTTCCCTCACCAGCAGCTGGAAATTGGTACCTATTGGTCAACTGTGGGAGGGGCCTTTGCAACATGATCGGTTGGAGGGACTACCTAACAACAACGACAAGTGATTAGATTATAACGGCTCACCCACAACACCAGGGGTCAATGCACAATTAATGACAAAACGTAATGGAGTCACTAAGGAGGCCGTCTAAGACAGGTGTTATTGCTTAGTGTGATAGGGGTTGTGTGTTAAAATATGGTGGCCGCGGCCGCGTTGGACGGGTGCCCGTTTTACACAGTTAAATTATACAGAAAAAACTCAATGGGGGAAATGGAAAGTGGCCGTTTGTACAGGTGGCCGTCTTATAGAGGTGGCCGTCAGGGCAGGTTCGACTGTACTTCAAGCTTAAGATCTTCATATTTCTACCACATTCCTCAGATAAGCATGTAATGTCTAACTGAACAAGACCGTTGAATCACACAGTACCAGTGGTGGCAAATCTGCTTGCTCTCTCCATCTGCCCCTCAATCTTTATATTCTCTCTTGAGCCACATACAGACTCTCTTTCACAAACACACTTTTGCTTGCAAACACATATAAACACACTCACAAACACAAATACACACTCTACCTCTTTGTCTTACATGAAAATACTACTCGCAGAAAGATGAATAGAAACCCCAGATAAATAAACTGACAGAAAAATACAAGTGTGCTGACACAGATCAAAAGGCAGACAAAGATAAAGGGACAGACAGATCCAAGACAGATGGATAATACTATTAAAGAACAGACAAAAAGACATCAAGAAAAAGATAAATAACATTAAGACTTTTTGGAGCTGCAAGAAACCAGGTGCACCTGTGTGTGTGTTCGTGTGTGTGGTGTGGTGTTCGTGTGTGTGGTGTGGTGTTCGTGTGTGTGTGTGTTTGTGTGTGTGTGTGTGTGTGTGTGTGTGTGTGTGTGTGTGTGTGTGTGTGTGAAAACAAATGAGATCTGACACACATTTCAGACTTTTCTAAACATTATATATACATGGTTAAATAAACAAATGGCCATAATGTCCTATGATGAAAGATATGCAGACTAATCAAACAAAAAAACCAAAATCAAAACCCAGACCAACACTTGGGCAAACAAATACAGATATCTCAAAAACCCTCACAGCACGTCACTCACTTCCCTGTCCTTTGGAGATGCCAATCCAGGTATCCAATCGCCCACGAGCGATCTGATTGGTCAAGAAGCGGGCCTCGGAGTCTGTGTGCACACTGGCCAGATGACCGCCTAAGATGTTACAGGCATAGCTAGCCGCTGACCAGCTCTTTAGATTGGTCCTCTCCAGCTTGTAGCAGTAAGGGCTGTCGTTTGTGCCCACCCATCCACGCGGGCATTTGGCGGGCGGTGGGGGCCTTTTGGTGGGAGCCGGAACTGGATTGGGAATATGCGGTGATATGAAATGAATAAGGGAGACTTTGTGGGGTGAGTAATGAGACAGAGCTGAGAAGGCAACTTTGCATATTATAAAATTATTTTTCTTTTTCTATTTACTGTAGCTGGAACTGGATTGGGAATACGCGGTGATATGAAATGAATAAGGGAGACGGTGTGGGGTGAGTAATGAGACAGAGCTGAGAAGGCAACTTTGCATATTATAAAATTATTTTTCTTTTTCTATTTACTGTAGCTGGAACTGGATTGGGAATACGCGGTGATATGAAATGAATAAGGGAGACTTTGTGGGGTGAGTAATGAGACAGAGCTGAGAAGGCAACTTTGCATATTATAAAATTATTTTTCTTTTTCTATTTACTGTAGCTGGAACTGGATTGGGAATAAGCAGTGACATGGCATAAAAGGGGGGGGGGGGGGTAATTGCTGATGACATGGGTTCAGCAACCATTTCAACGTTCAGGTTATTTTAGAGATGGGACCTTCGAATTTTAAACGTCCATCAGTAACGAGACAGAGCTAAGTCTAAATAGGCAACTCTGCAGATAGCAAATTACTTTTGTTTTCTTTTTCTAATTACAGTAGTACTAATAAGCATATCATCACTGTGCTAACAAAATGACACATCTCATTTTTGCTACTTTTGGGATAAATGGGAAAAACTGTTTAACCATAAGTCTATTTATAATCTACTAGTGATAAAACTTGCCATGCACGTTTCTTTTGTGATTGCCAGTGCATTTTTGTGTTGGTTTCACCAAAAGATATTGTATCACCAAAAGAAATGAAGGCTAGTTGCATTTTAGCACAACTCTGAATTATGAGATTTTGCTTGGACAATGACAATATATTGAAACATTTGGGATAACACAGGATAGATTCTTTACAAACATAGGATAGATTCTTTACAAAAAGCAAATGTGAGGCATCATGGTGGAATCAGGCTCTCGTCTATTTTTGGGCATGTAGAGTTATTGGTATCATCTTAAAGCTTGTTCACTTGTCTTTATTTCTATGAAAACAATATCCATTTATCTTGAAAACAAGTTGAGATATTTGCAAAAGAAGGAGGTGGGGGTCGCTTGTTTTCAGAAGTAAAATAAGTGAGAAAATGGCCGCCAAAGATTAGTTATTTCCTTAGCTTAAGAGTCCGTGGTAACTGAAAATTTACTTTTTTTGTGCCTTTAATCAACGTTTTTCAGAAAAATCCACACTGAAATGAGTTTTTCAATGGGCATGAAAGGTGTTGAGCCAAAAAAAAAAATTGATAAGAATTCACAAACCTGCAGAAAAATGCCAGTTTCTTCACTAAGATTAATTTGACGAGTGCCTGATTTCACCATGCTGCCTCACAAATTATCCGATAAAGTCCATTAATATTTTCAAAAAATTGGTGTTTCAGTTGAGAATAAATATGGGTCAAAGACATCAAAATAGCGAAACAAAATTTTGAACAAAGTGAAAAGACCTCCCTGTTGGACAACGTACCGAGACTCTGTTCACAGATGAAGGACAGTTGCATCTGACAAGGCACATCCTGCCACTGGCCATCCACTGTGTGACTCACACAACCCTCGTTGGCCAGGCGGTTGGGCTCACCCTTGCCCCAGTTGGTGAAGGTAACAGGCCATGTGTCAGACCATGTGTACGCTTCCGAAGCCTGGGAAATAGGGGGAGGTGGGAGGTGGGGGAGGTGGGAGAAGGAGGATTCAGATTGGGAGAGGAGGGGGGGGGGAGAAGGGTTTGAGGGTGGATGCGAAGAGAGGGTGGAAGGGGGAGGGAAAGCAGATGGGGAGAGGGGGAGGAGGGGGAGGGGGTTTGAAAGGGGGGTAGATGGGGAGGAGGAGAGAGGGAAGGGCACAAGGAATGATTCATGTTATGTTTTAGAAAAGAGAAAAACAAATAGTTGAATCAATAAGTTAATCAAAAAAGCATGAAGGAATAAAAAAACAATTGTGTTAAGATGCAATGGAATCCGAAGCTCTTCGATTTTTGGGCACTTGGAGTTATTGATATTATATTAGAGATTGTTACTTTGTCTTGCTTTTGATGACAAAAATACACATCTACATGTATCTTGAGTAGAAACAGAGATATTTGTGATAGAAGGAGTAGGGCTTGTCTGGTGTCAAGAGGGAAAGTTTACAACAAAATGGCTATCAAAGTTTCATGACTTCCGAAGTTTAGGAGTCCTTGTAAACTGCAAATCCAAGTAGCTGTGGCCTTACATTATAGGACTGCTTGATTTATGCAGTAGGATGGTGAGGCGGCAGTTTGGTGTGTAATTGAGTAAAAGTAGCATGCAAAGGAGTTCCCTCCAGGGTCATAGAGTTTTATTGCACTTGCAACACAGTTTATATACATGCCGAAGATTAGAAGTGTTACAAGAGAGTAACGAACTCAAAAACAAAAAAAATAGGAGGACAGGTAAGGAAAACAGACGTTTGACAAGAAGGAAGGAGCAAACCAAACCAGAGCACCTGCCAACCACCCACAGTTTACTGGCAAGAGAGAGGATTGTGAAATAAACCAAAAGGAGAGGGTGTAGAAATGTTTCTTTTTTTTCTTTGACTTACCAGGTCGTATTTCAAACCTAGCCACATCTGAAGATCAGGGGCAGCTCCTAGGGTCAGAAGTTCAATGAAGTCTTCTTCAAATCTGAGAAAGGAAATGAAGACACACAGATGCCAATCAAATATGGACTCTCCCACAGACTGATTTTAGAAATAAAGTCAAAAAGTACTCCTCCAGTCTGTGGGAGAGCTACTGGGAAAAACAGAAAAATAATAAACTGTATATTATAATACTCTAACTGGAACAGCGAAATCCTTCGGACCTCTCCAGAAGAGACGAAGTCATTTTTACTTGACTGCGCATCGGACACACGGCCCTGACCCACAAATACCTCCTACATGGAGATGAGAAGCCATTCTGTGTCGGATGCGACACAGATTTTACCATTAGACACATCTTAACCGAATGTCTGGACTTTGGAGAGACCCAAAGGAAATATCATAAATGCAAGAAATTGCAAGACATTTTTTCCTTTATTGGTCCCAGCAGAATTTTGAATTTTATGAAGGCCATTGGCTTTTATGGCAAATTGTAAAGAGAATTGTACTATTTAAAATTTTTGTGTTAACTATAAAAATTGTTTTAGATTGAAAATATATATATATATATATATTTACACTGATTTTTTAAACATTTTAACATTTTAAGATTTAACTACTGACCCGAGCCAGCTGTACAGTGAACTAGTGAGAACAAAACTAACTTGTGTTTCGCGCGCTCATATGACCTTATGCAGTAGCGAGCGCTGTAAAACCCAATACTAAACAAACAAATATGGACTCATGGATGGTTTATCAACTTTAATTTTTGCTTTGTCAGGCCTAATCCAAGCGGCACTCAATTTGTGCCTCCCTTTAACAGTTAACAGTTCCACATGTAAAGGCGGTGTTCCTCTGACCAATTTAATTTATCCATCCATCTCTCATTCATTGTTCTATACGTTCCTACCTCTATCTTTCTGGTTCAGAAAGAGAAAGAGAGAGAGAGATTGAGAAAGATAGTGATAAAAAAAGAGAGAAATAAAAGGGGGGGGGGGACAGAGAGAGAGAGAGAGAGAGAGAGAGAGAGAGAGAGAGAGAGAGAGAGAGAGAGAAAGAGAGAGAGAGAGAGAGAGAGAAAGAGAGAGAGAGAGAGAGAGAGAGAGAGAGAGAGAGAGAGAGAGAGAGAGAGAGAGAGAGAGAGAGAGAGAGAGAGAGAGAGAGAGAGAGAAACACATGCACACACACACATACACAAACAGACAGAGACAGAAAATCAGGCACAAAGACAGAGGCAGAGAGGCAGAGAGAGTGTAGGAAACATTGTGACGGGCTGTTGTGATGTTATGTAATAGTATGTTCAAAAATCTGTGTCTCTAAAGCTTACAAAAGCACAAAGTAATTTTCTTTCAATGAAGGATTAATACCCTCACCCCTCTTATCTGATCGTATCTTAATTTGTTAACTCTTCCTTTTTCTTCCTCTTCTCAATCTCTCTTTCTTACACCTTAGACTTTTCTTTCTTTCTCCATTTCTCTCAGTCTCTGTCTCTGTCTCTGTCTCTGTCTCTCTCTCTCTCTCTCTTTCTCTCTCTCTCTCTCTCTCTCCCCCCCTCTCATTTAAATCCTCTTCCACTTCTTTCTATCCCCTCCCCACCCCCCCTTTCTCTCTCTCTCTCTCTCTCTCTCTCTCTCTCTCTCTCTCTCTCTCTCTCTCTCTCTCTCTTCCCCTTTCTCTCTTTTCCTTTCGATTTCTCCGCCTCTCTCTCTTCTTCAACAGCTTACATACCTATCAATAACGCTGACAAGATGCGAGCCCTCTAATTTGCACAGCTGCTCTGCTTGATTCCAGGTATAGAGATCTTTGTCATAGCGGTAACAACTGTTACGGAACCGCTGATAGCCTGCCTTGCATCCTGTTGCGTTTACTGTTTCCGCAGCGTAGACAGGAACTGTTTGCCCCCAATTTTTTTTAAAGGAGGGGGAGGGGGTGGAGAAGAACATATGGTGTTGTGAGAAAAAAAAAATGGACTTTAACTTTTAACAAAAAGCGTATGTGTCGCGACGGGGTGGAATCAGGTGCTCGTAAATTTGTGAGCGTATAGAGTTATCATATTGTCTTAAAACTTGCTCATGTGTTTTTATTTGGTGAAAAAAGTACCCTTATATGGAACAAACAACATCTATAGTGGCCCTGCAAGGCCCTCATACAGTACACCAAGGCCACAGCTATGGAGGATCATATACTGCACACAAGAACAGCCAGATCAAACACCGCAAGACTCAAAAGATCCAACTTCATCAAAGAAAGCATCCAAAGATCCCTACAGGACCATCTACCAGCCACCGTGAACATGCTGAACCACACCCCAGAGGCACCATCATGGGAAAAGAAAAACACAAACATAATTATACACACGTCCATTCCTATGTTCACCACAAAAGATGACCACAGCGACCTGAGCAAGAAGTCCCTCACCCTGTCCATGCTTGAAGAAAGATACTCACGAGAAGCATGGATAAGGATCTATACAGACGGATCTGCCACTGATGCTGTGAAAAGAGGAGGAGCCGGAGTGTATGTACAGTTCCCAAATGGACGACGACAAGCAGAGGCAGTCCCAACAGGGCGACATTGTACAAACTACAGGGCAGAGACGGAGGCTCTAATACATGCAGCAAACATCATCAAGAATGTGGTAAACCCCCAGAGCCAAGTAGTATTCCTAACAGATGCCATGTCAGTACAGCAGGTAATCACTTCCGGCAAACTACCGAGGCTACGAAAAGAAATTGAAGACATCCCATGTCTGAGGATCATGCTGCAGTGGATTCCATCACACTGTGGTGTCTTGGGAAATGAGCAGGCAGACAGGATGGCCAAACTAGGAGCACAAAAAGAGCAACCAGACAACAGCGTTAACTACACAGAAATAAAAACTATTATAAATACACTATTTAAAGCACCTCAGACACCAGATAACTACCATGAGCTGTCCCGCCAAGAACAAGTGATTATCTTCAGACTAAAGACACAACGCACAAGACTGAGACAACATATTATGTACAAATGTTTTAAACTAGTACAATCACCAAAATGCCAGTGTGGACAGGCAGACCAAACTGTTGAACACATCCTTCAGCACTGCAAGACACACAGGGCCCTGAGACAGGAAATGTGGCCAACCCCACTGACGCTACAAGAGAAGCTATACGGGCCGCCAGATGAACTGAGCAGGACGGCCCAATTTATGACAGATACCAGACTTCAAGTGTGATGCGATCGAGAAGAAGAAGAAGAAGAGAAGTACCCTTATATCTGGAATAGAAGTAGAGATTTTGCGATTGAAGGAGGTGGGGGGTCGCCTTGTGTGAAGAGCAAAATTAGCGATTAATTGGCTGCCAAAGTTTGGTGATTTCCAAAGCTTGAGTGTCTGTGGAAACAAGAAATGCTATTAAAAATTGCCGTTAATCAACATTTTTCTGTAACATCCACACAAAAATGTGTTTTTAAAAGGACATAGAAAGTGTCCAGCCCCCCCCAAAATACAATTTTTAAAAATTTCCTTGTTTTGACGAGCACCTGATTTCACCACGCTGCTTCACATAAAAAAAAACAAATCTTCATCAAATTTTGGTAGTTTTCTCCTCACCTTTAGCCGTCTCACAAACAAAGGAATATCTGTCCGTACATCTCTTGTCATTCCACCATCCAGCAGTGCGGGCACTCATTTCCATATCCACACAGTCTCTCTGGGGATGGTCAGTGAATTGTTTCTTGTCTATTTGTTGGTTCAATGCCCTACTATACACAATAAGTCTTTGTGCAGGAAGGAGACTAGATCTACTGATGGTTATAGCTCTATTGGTAGTGCAGATGGCCTTGGTTTGAATCTCTAATGGCAATTTTTTAGATGTGGGTTGTTTGGGGAGGTTTGAGGCCCTCAACCCAAATGGTCATGTCATATCAGATATGGTCAGTACATCTGGCTGTCCCTTCGAAATTACCATATAAAAGTGAAAATTGCCTATAGCATAGTAGCTCTTAAAAGTAAACTGAATATAAAGAGTAAATATACAATAAAGGAATAAGTATGGAAGGAAAACAGCTGATGCATAAAAGTAACATAGGTTTAACCTTATTGCTCGTTGGTATGATAACAGCTACCTGTTGCCAAGAACGGATTAGTGTATCAAAGTGTATCAAAGTGCAACATTTTCAACATTTTTCAATAAATTTTTATCAAAACTTTGCATGTCATCACTTGAACCAGGGGGACAATATTCGGTAAAATTTCAAAAAGGTTGATGGGCAATTTTATAACCAGTGTCTGTGGTGTAGCGGTCAGGCACTTTGTACTGCACACTGAAGACCTGATTTGATTGTGGCATCAGTGGCCTAGTGATTAGGCTCTGGGACTCGCAATCGTAAGGTCGTGGGTTCAAATCCCGTCAGGGGCCCGACGTTGTGTCCTTGGGAAAGGCACTTTACACGAATTTTCCTCACTTCACCCAGGTGGGAATGGGTAGGCCTACCTGGCTACAGACGGCGAAAGGTCTTGTCAGATTGTTACGTGTTTGAGTGCTTTATCAGCTGCTTGCACTATATGCTTCCCGGGAAGCTGAGAATGTTTCGGAGTGTTCTATGGTCTGCTGGGGTAATAATATAGAGTAAAGCGAATAGAGCTTGCTGTTGAGCGGGGGTATGCGCTATACAAATGTGAGGTGTGCTGACAAAATGAGTTACTTCTTGCAATCCACAAACGGAAATATTGTGCAAAAATCAACACACCGAGGTCAAATTTGTAGATTTTCTTTTGATGCCATATTATTTAACTATAACATGCCTTTTATTACTTCATACTTATAAACTGTAAAAACTTCACCTACAAGCTTGATGTATCTATATCCTTAAGGTTTGAATCCGAGAAGTAACTCATTTTGTCAGCATGCTTCACAAATGCTATTTATTATTATTTATCATTATTATTCCAAAGTGGGGAAACTTTTTTTGTCAAGTATCTCAGTCTTCTTGTTGACATATTGTATCCTCCTCAGCCAGAGAAGCCCTCCTCCTAAATGATGTAAGTTGTGTCGATGGAGGCGTTAAAAACACCAACATTAAAAAAAAAATTTTTTTGATAAGAAACAAAAACCAAAACCAGTTTAGAATTTATGTTTAAAAAAACGATGGCGGCCTTCCTTATTCAGGAAGTCTAAAATGAGCATGTAGTGCAGATGAGGTTATTGCACTGGCTCAGAGCTCAGTCCCACAAGACCCACAATTGTCTCTTAGGCGAAGAAGCAGGTAGATGGGAAGTGCAATGTGTATAAAAAAGTTTGTGCTCTGTTCCATGGAACCTAACAGATTTATGTAGTGCTCTATCTCACTGCTTTTCATCTATAACATGATCTCTGAGCATGATGCGTTATTCACACAAAATATAACATAAAAACAGTTCAACCACATAAAGAAAAACTTTTCCAACCAAACATTAATAATATACACGTAAGGACATAAGTGAAAACAAAACTTATCAGCTCTTACTAACACACTACAACAAAGAATTAAATAAATGAGTCTTGAGCATGGGCTTTCATTTGTACAGTTTTCAGAGACAGCCTAAGTCTGACTCACCCTGGCAATCAGTCTCTTGTCATTTTTATTCTCGTCTGGTTGTTTGTAGCCCCAGGCTGTGAAGTCTACCTGGGAGTTGTCCACCCAAGCAAACTGGTCATTACGTCTTCGGTCATTGAAACCAATCCAAGATGGTGCACGACTGCCCGAGTTAGCCAACAGGATTGTGACGAATTCTGGGTAGGAGGAGCGTGTAAGGTAAAGAAGCAAAAATAGAACGTCTTTACTACCCTTAAAACTCAACTCGTATTTATCAAAGTCTTCGTCATATTTGGCAGAACTGATGTTACTAATGTATGTATTCATTCCCTGGAGCAGCAGAATGTTCTGACACTGTGGTGTGAGGTTAGGTTCTTTCCTTTGGGTGTAAATGACATCATTTTTATTCAAACACGGGTAAGACATGTCTTCATCTTTATGCTGAGATGTTGAAACCTTTTCAACCCAAGAGGTTATTAAACTGGTAAAAATATAATTATATCCAGATTTTTCATTTTTATTGCAGACTGTAGCTTTGATAACAACATTTGTTATGAAACAATATTTTTCATAAACAACAGTGTGTTGGGTAAAAGAAAGCTTCTAGCTTATAGCCCACAAAGGAGAACGAAAAGGATAGTGGTATTAACAGAAAAATATTCTTCCCTTTACAGCATGCTTCCATGTCTTTGTTTTTTTCAAATAGACAATCTTTGCTACATCTGTAAGAAAGAGATATATGACTAGCACCAAACGGGAATTGTCTGCTTTTCCTGTGGGATCACCGAATAAAAACCTATAGTACATCATAAACTTCCCTGACATCATTTTCCAACATTTTGTACAGATTTGTTGACAGAAAAATTTATATTGTCTCGGAAAATGACTTTAGTCACTGCACCAGGGCTTTTTCCAAATCGTTTATATGGACTACATTTGATTTTCATCATAGACGCAAACTACATTAACTCACTGGAGATGTTTCACGCAGTATTTCCGAGCACCAATATTTTCCAGAGAGGCGATTCACGCACCCCCTGCGAGCACAAGTTTCGCTTTTTTTTTCTAGGTAAAGTTTGCTCCCAAATGCTGCGTGAACCGTCTCTTACCGTGCAGATGACTTTTGTTTCGTTTCATGTGAAGTTTCACCAGAATAAATGGAAACTTTTTGAGTTATCAAGCTGTAAGGAAAGTTAGTCACACTGAGGCCCTACTTTCGTTTCTCTGACTGATGTCTGTTCGTGCATCCCTTTGTCAGTATGTTGGCAGAACGTTTAGTTTTAGTAAGAGTTTTACAGCACTTGCAACACAATTAGATCATATAAGTGCTGAAGATGAGGTGGTACAATAAAGTAACAAACGCAAAGATAGGAAAGAAGGAGCAAACCACACCAAAGAACCCACTAACCACCTATTTGGCAGCACGAAAAACAAGCATTTTTCAAGTGTTTGACGACTTAGACGGTTCACAAAATTCTGATTATGATATTTCAGACTATGGGGATCCTGATTTCAATGTAAAGGAGCATCAAAGCACTGTTTCTGATGGAGAATGTCTTAGATCTAGACTAGGCTTTCAAATTCTAAAAAACTATAAAAGATATTGCCTTTCTGTTTTTGTGTGTCCTATTAGGCAAGTCTTGATCTGTTATAGGTGTAAAAAAGGTGACTGTATGTCTTTGGGAAGAGTGTTTTTTTAAATATTGAAATACCCCCCCAAAATACCAGTCTCCAGTGCCTGTAGACCTGTAAAAGACCCAGCCTCCAGTGAGTTAAAATTTGATTTTTGTCACAGATGCAAACTACATTAACATTTGACTTTCATCACAGAAGCGGACTTCAAAGGTACTCATATAAAGGAAAGACAAATACACCTGTAAATAGATATCTTGGTCATTGAAGAAAACACCTACAAACACAAGAGGTCATGCAATCAAACACTCACACTGGATGACAAACATACATTCACGATATTCCCTACTTTTGCACAGGATCTTGAAATTTCCATTGTCACACTTAAATACTCAAGCAAGAAGAGAAACATATAATTACATGAAAACAGATGAACAAAGAAAAAGAGGAAGACAAACAGATTTATATAATAACTGGAAAACAGAATAAGTAAATAAACTTGAGGAATATCATTTACTTTGTTCCACGGGGTTGTGAATTGAAGCCAGTCGTGATTTAAAATTTAGCTGATTACAAACTGTCATGGCATCCGTATAGTTCTTTCGCTGTCTGGGATCCACGCCTCCAATAGTGTAGCACTTGGTCACTGAAATAAAGAAGAGAAAGGAAATGAGAAGAAAATTGTGCAGACAGGTTGACAGGGTGTGAAAAAGAAAATTGAGATGATAGGTTGATGATGGGTAAGAAAAGAAATCATGAAGATAGGTCAGCGGGTGGAAGAAAGAAATTTGTGAAGTACTGTTGAGTTCTGATACGATACTGTCACTTGACCTAAAAAATTACCAGCATTGGTACTAGTAATAGATGACATCAGATGTTCTGCACATCTTGAGTCTCACCTGCTGCCTCTCTTTCTTATCAGTGCCGTTTCTCCCCCCC